CATCAAATCTCACAGAACTGGACAGTGCTATTCATCAGGCATGGTGTCAGATTCCTCGCATCACCTTTCAGCATCTCGTGGAGTCAATGCCAGGAAGAATCGCTGCAGTATTGAAGGCAAAAGGTGGCCCAACGAAGTACTGATGGGGTGGTCATAATAACCTGGCCACTCAGGGTATATGATGATACGGAATTGTGTGTGTGATCAGAAGCAGCTCTTCTGACCTCCTAGGTCCCTGTTTCTTGCACTGCCCCACATTACAACTGCATCCTGGTAGGTAACCTGGTCCAAAATCTCACCTCTCTCTGGTTGCTGAGATTGTGCCTTCAGTCATTTGAGGTAATACAGCATGGGTTCTGGAGTTGGAGGCCTGGGGCAAGGTCATCCCTCCGTGCCTCAGCCTCCTGATCCAGAAAGTTCCCATCTCTGGAGTGTGAGCGTCCAATGAGTTAACGAGCAAAAGCACTTAGAGCAGAGGCTGGCTACAGTAAGTGATCATTCAAGGTAAGCGAAGATTACTAGTCTTTGTCACAGAAGCAGCTGCAGCTCTTGCATAGTCTGCCGTTATTCTGTTAGGAGAGCTTGGAATTGGGAAATCAGGGCACATTTAAATGAAACATTAAAACAATGTGCCCTCATCCAGTAACTCATCTAATTTTCTACCCAATCATAATTGAATAAAGAACCCAGTTCAGCCTTTTGCCTCGTTGCTACAGAGTGAGCAAGATGGGTCACCAGCAACTCTACTGGAGCCATCCGAGGAGATTCGGCCAGGGTTCTTCTTCTTTTTTTAAATATATTTTATTGATTTCTTACAGAGAGGAAGGGAGAGGGATAGAGAGCCAGAAACATCCATGAGAGAGAAACATGGATCTGCTGCCTCCTGCACGCCCCGCACTGGGGATGTGCCCGCAACCAAGGTACATGCCCTTGACCGGAATCGAACCCGGGACCCTTGAGTCCGCAGGCCGAAGCTTTATCCACTGAGCCAAACCGGTTCTGGCGAGGGTTCTCCTTCTTGCCAGGTCTGCTCAAACCACCACGGTCTGATCCGTAAGTACGGCCTCAACATGTGCCGCCAGCGTTTCCGTCAGTCAGCCAAACCGGTTCTGGCGAGGGTTCTTCTTCTTACCAGGTCTGCTCAAACCGCCACGGTCTGATCCGTAAGTATGGCCTCAACATGTGCCGCCAGCGTTTCCGTCAGTGCACGAAGGACACAGGCTTCATAAAGTTGGACTAAGAGAACTTCCATGAATGGGTTGTTCAAGACATCTACCTTATGACAGAATGCTCTCTCTTTGTACATAAAATTATAAAACAAAACAAACAAAACCCCAGTTCACTTTCACAAGGTCAGCGGGGTCAGTAAATTCAAAATTTCATGTTGCTTTTCTGGAACAGGCCTGCGGAGGCAGGAGGAGGTGGTGGAAAAGGCTGGCATTTCGGAGTCTAAAGACCCCGAGTCATATGGGCTGCCTGACTTTGGGGAACAAACAGGCCTTAGTTTCCGCTTCTGCGAAATAACTGGACTCTAAGGCAGAGAGACACTCGGCTCAGTGTCCTAGTTAAAGACACAGTAAATGTTGGAAATACCAGATATAGATAATAGAGTGACACTAACATGCATGCAGAGACAAAAAGGCCATCTCTGGAGGGATATTTAGGAAACTGCTAAGAGGAATAGGGTGGGAAGAGAGAATATTATTCTATACCTTGTAAATGAAAAAAAAAAATTGAGAAACGAATTGGCTTGCTAAAAGAATAGTTTTTATTAAGGCCATGGAGTGGGCCTTCTGACGGGGATTAGGAAGTGGACATCTGGCCAGTGGCCCCTGAATGCTGGCCCCGTATCCCCCTCTGCTAGACCCCTCGCCCCCCGCGGGCGCACGCGCACCCCAGCCTTCCCTTTCGCCCGCCACCCGCCCAGCGCCCCCAAGGGAAGCCGAAGTGGCCGCGGCCATCTTAACTGTGGGCAAGGGCGCTTCTCAGGCCGCTCGCGGGACAGCAAGAGAAGAAACTCGAGGGGGTTAACAAACCAGGTCAACACTGGACCCACACTGGAGCTGCTAAGCGCCTTCCTCTCAAAACAAAGACGCCAGAAAACCACCATCTTTCCTGAGGGCTCCTTCATTTCCTCGGCCCTGGGATCACCGAGTCCGCATAACCAGTTCTCCGCGTCCTAGAGCGGCCCCGCCCGGAGCGAGTTCCGGTCTCCTAGGTGCCCGGAGGTCGAGTGCCCCTCCTGGGGCGGGGGCCGCGCATGCTTCGAGTGCGTGCTTCCGGCTTCCGCCTCCCCGGAGGTGCCCGCGAGGGTCCTGATGGGAGGAAGCGTGAGGTGGGAAGGCCAGGCGCGGGAGCTTCGGGCCGTGGCCATGGCCGAGTATTTCCTCCCCAGGAGTGGGCTGCCCGCTGCCCGCGAAGAGGGCCCTGGCCCGCACGGGATGCGGCCGACCTAATGCCACCAGGCGCGCTCCCCGAGGGCCGGCCATCCCTGATCTCTGAAAGGGGAAGGGGCAGGTGGGACCGGAAGGAACAGGTGCCCACTCGCCCCCACGCCGGCCCCAGGTGGCCCCGTTTCCTGTGACTCCCGCCAGGTCACCCTCAAATTCACAACTGCGTCTCCCCTGGCCGACCCCTTCAGTGGCTCCCAGGACTCCTGCAAACAGGTCAGAACCTGTGCCACAACACCGAGGCCCCGGGCTCGCCGCCCTCCAGTTCAAACCAGATCTCGCTCGCCCTACAGGCAGGCGATCCCATTGGGCTGCAGGTAAACGGGATCGTCGGTTCTGGGACACGCCTCTAGCTCAGCGGGCCTGCGCTCTTGCGTTCTGCACTGTACACACCACACCTGCAAACCTAACATCTTCCATGCCCTCCTAAATACTGTCTCTGGGAATTCCTCTCGGAGCGCCTCTGCCCCATGCAGAAACCTCCGAACACAGCTCTGTGTCTGTGCAGGCCTGAGCACAGCCTGCCCAAAGGTCCGCACCTGTGCGAGCAGAGCTCACACCTTAGTGCAAATGTAGTTTAGTGTCAGTTTAGAGCAGGAAGCTTATCCTGATTCACCAATACCTCCAACACCTAGAACACCTCGATGCCTAAGGAATGCATTGGTAGTATTAAGAAATGTATTGTTTTTTGTTTTTTTAGTGGTTTAGTTTCTTCCCCAGGATCCCCAGATCCCAAACCAGCCCTCCTGGGTAGAGCAGGAGACCCAGCTGTGGGGTGCAGATGTTAGGGATCCCCAGGAGGGAGGGAGTCTGCGAAAGATGGAAAGGTGAGAAGTGGGAGCAATGTCCCAGTTCCAGCTGGAAGGGAAAATGTTTTATTGAGCGAGAAACCAGCTACATGTCCCTTACTAATTTTTCTTGGTCTGAATCTATTTATTTATTTATTTATTTGGTCTGAATTTATGACACCCACTGGAGATTGAAATCTTTTTTTTTGATGGGTGTTTTTTTTGTTTTGTTAATCCTCACCTGAAGTTATTTTCCATTGATTTTTAGAGAGAGTGGAAGGGAGGGGGGAGAGAGACAGAGAGAAACATCAATGTGTGAGGGACACATTGATTAGTTGCCTCCCAAATGTGCCCTGACAGTGCCAGGGATCAAGCCTGCAACCAAGGTACATGCCCTTGACCAGAATCAAACCCAAGACCCTTCAGTCCAAGGGCCGACGCTCTACCCACTGAGCCAACCTGGTCAAGGCAAGACTGAAATCTTAACGTTCTCTTTCTAAGTTGACTGAGACATCCAGTGGTCCCATGGTCAGGTCACACTGAATGAATCATCCGATCTCCAGCTCCGTGGCCGTGTGTGAATTAAGTTTAGGCTGGAGGCAGTTCACCTTTCTGTCTCCAGGTCCCTGGGCCCGGTAGTTGGGGGTGTCTGCTCTGGTTGGTCCTAAGGTAGGTGGGAATGTCCCTGACTCATGAGCCTTCAGTTGAGCAACACAGTTTAGGCAGAGCTTCCAGGGGCCAGGCACCCATCTGAATGCTTCTGCCCTTGTGAAGCTTGGCTCCGGCACCAGAACACGAGTAGACCTTGGACCAGTAACAGGGTGAGTTTGAATCTGCTGTTTCACAGCAGCCACTCAGGAGAACAACACATTTAGAAAGGGCCAGGAGAAGAGTCCGTTCGGGATTGTCATGGGCCCCTGGGATCAGAAACACTGACCTGGTCCCTGAGCCCCCTCCTCATCTGTGCCCAGCCTCAACATCGGCACTAACGCAGCACTCATCCCTGCCCGCATGCATCATGCTTTGCCATCATCTTTAACCTGGTCCAGCGCACTCCCTGGAGAGGGACCCTGTGGGAACCCTAGTCAAGAGTACGCCGGATGATCAAGGCCAGTTTGCCACATGCGTGCATGCAGGCGAGGATGTAACCCAGAGGTCCTCAAACTTTTTAAACGGGGCCAGTTCACTGTCCCTCAGACATTCCACACATGCGCACTGCGGGCCCCGGACGAGTCAGCTGCTAAGCAGGACAGGCAGAGGCGGCAAAAACACCCGGTGGGCCAGATAAATGTTTTCGGCGGGCCGCATGTGGCCCGTGGGCCGTAGTTTGAGGACCCCTGAGGTAACCTGTTCATGTTCATGTAGCATCTGTGTCACTCATTGGCACGAGGCCTCTTCTGTGTGAGCGTGTATATAAGGCCACTGACCAGCCAGGGGGGCTGGGCCGCTTTGTGGGGCTGCCTTTGGGGGCTACTTTGAAGAACTACTTTGATGGCTCCTATAGTAGCAATGGCTACTTGGCCTACAGTAAAGTCTCTCCCATATGCCTGCGATTCCTCATGTCTCCGTCTAATTCCTGGCATCCGAGGAGCTGCGCTCCCACAGTTGGAGTCGAGCAGGATCAAGGAGCCGTGTGCTCCCACAGGCCCTTTGCAGCTAGTGCGGCACCTGCCTTCGCCTCAGGTAGTACCGCTCACGCTAACTGCTGACTCACACAGGCAAGTGGCCCTACTCCTGTGCCCGCTATAAGAGGTAGGTCTTCAGCTAGAGGCCCGCCAGCCAGGCGCCATAGGCCCCAGGGGCCAACCCAGGGTTTCAAACCCTGCCCCAGCTTGTTCCCCAGGAAGGTCCAGACAGCCCTGAGTGTCTAGGACTAC